TCAGGAACACGTACGTATCACTGACCAAATATAGCATCTTCTTCAGAAACGCAATCTACATCGTAACTTAGTGTACATAGAATCTACAGTGTATGACGACACTGCGCAAACGCTGGGCTTAAAAGAGCTTATTCTACGATGAAAATGTAACGCTTTGGGATATGAACAGCTTTTAAGTCCATACGGAAGATCAGGCGGCGTACCAACAGCCGAGTGAGCTGTGAAAACGGAGCTACGCTATATCCCCATCATTATAGTCATCTCTTAATCAGCCACAAGATGGCTTAAAAACACTCTCATACACCCGGACCTTAATTACTTACGCAGTTGTAAAATATGGTTTGTAGGTGTCGTCAAGCGTTGTTGTCATTCTAATATAATTGAGATGCGATATAAAGGGTTGCAGGGAGTTGCGAGGAGCTCAGCGTTCAAGAAGCTAGATGTCAGAGATCTGGTATTGCTTGGTGCGTGTAAGAACATTATGTATACAGTGTTTTCTCGTTAGTGTTTGTATACAAAGCTGTTTAGTCCTGCTATGGTAGAAATAACAGTCAGCATCCCTGCGCAGTGTGGATGCCACTTAAGTACCAGGCCTGGGCGAGACAAGTTTCACGGCAATGCTTGTGGGCGTGGTGTGCAGCTGCTGTTGTAATTAAATAGGGGAAGCGACCAGCGTGTGTCCTGGTGTCAGGAGATCAGACCGGTTTCTCAGGTGTCTGGAGATCAGACCGATTACCCCGGGTGTCTGGATATTTGACCGGTTTCATCAACACAGCAGGTATATAACCACGCCACTGACGTTTGTAACATCAGTTTCATACGAGAACACCATTCGGACGTTAAGTGACTTCACTGGTAAGCTGATGATATTTATAATAATTCCGTTTATTTATTTTCATGATGTAATATGTTCTAGACGTCACAGTCGTAAATTGGCGCGTGATGTTTATATGATAATGATTCGATTTACAGAATACACAGTTGAATAATGAACATGAATATAATACGCGGCCTTCGATACAAAGCTATTCGTATTCTCTTTTCTCTTTGCTAATTTGTAGGCGAGCCTATATAGGACGTTAATTTTACGCTTGTGACGTGGCCGTCTTCGAAGCAAAACACGTGATCGCAGCTTGAGCGCCAGACAGGGGAGAAATCTCACGCGTGTGACCAGTACGTGGCAGCCTTCCCTGAAGCACGATGGAATACGTGACAATTCATTCCGGGAAAAACCCATATAAGTGCGATCTGTGTGATGCTGCCTTCACCTGTCTGAGTGCTGCGAAGACACACATGAGAACACACACGGGAGAGAAACCATACAAGTGCGATCTGTGTGATGCTGCCTTCACCTGTCTGAGTGCTGCGAAGACACACATGAGAACGCACACGGGAGAGAAACCGTATAAGTGCGATCTGTGTGATGCTACCTTCTCGCAGTCGGGTTATGTGAAGACACACATGAGAACTCACACGGGAGAGAAACCGTATAAGTGCGATCTGTGTGATGCTACCTTCACACAATCGGGTGCTGTGAAGACACACATGAGAACGCATACGGGAGAGAAACCATATAAGTGCGATCTGTGTGATGCTGCCTTCTCATGTCTGAGTANTCCCGTCTGAGTAGTGTGAAGAGACACATGAGAACTCACACGGGAGATAAACCGTATAAGTGCGATCTGTGTGATGCCGCCTTCTCCTGTCTGAGTAGTGTGAAGAGACACATGAGAACTCACACGGGAGATAAACCGTATAAGTGCGATCTGTGTGAAGCCGCATTCTCCTGTCTGAGTCATGTGAAGACACACATGAGAACTCACACGGGAGAAAAACCGTATAAGTGCGATCTGTGTGATGCTGCCTTCTCGCATTTGAGTACTGTTAAGACACACATGAGAACTCACACGGGAGATAAACCGTATAAGTGCGATCTGTGTGATGCTGCCTTCTCCTATCTGAGTCATGTGAAGAGACACATGAGAACTCACACGGGAGATAAACCGTATAAGTGCGATCTGTGTGAAGCCGCATTCTCCTGTCTGAGTCATGTGAAGAGACACATGAGAACTCACACGCGAGATAAACCGTATAAGTGCGATCTGTGTGAAGCCGCATTCTCCCGCCTGAGTCACGTGAAGATACACATGCGAACTCACACAAAAGAAAACCCGTATAAGTGCGATCTGTGTGATGCTGCCTTCTCGCATTCGGGTACTGTTAAGACACACATGAGAACTCACACGGGAGAAAAACCGTATAAGTGCGATCTGTGTGAAGCAGCATTCTCCTGTCTGAGTCATGTGAAGATACACATGAGAACTCACACGGGAGAGAAACCGTATAAGTGCGATCTGTGTGATGCTACCTTCACACAATCGGGTGATGTGAAGACACACATAAGAACTCACACGGGAGATAAACCGTATAAGTGCGATCTGTGTGATGCTGCTTTCTCGCATTCGGGTACTGTGAAGAAACACCTGAGAACTCACACGAAAGAAAAAATCATTCAAATGTAACATTTGAAGTGAGTGAAGCTTACGCTCTCAAGGCACTCCATAACCACACAGATGTCAACAGAAAGTATATCTCAAACTTTCAGACTCACATGTAGTATGTATGTATGTATGGCCGGGAACCTTTAGATCGGTGTTTCCCTTTTTTATTTTTGATAGTTTCACACCGGTAATTTCACTTTACCGGGAGATTTTGTTCCCGAGCTTCCAGGCTGATTCTAAGTAATGTTTAACCTGCTCTACCCAATCCCCATAACATCTATGTTCATTTAGCCCCAAGATGGTGAGCATCATTTGCCTTTCCTCCAGCTGTGCAGGGGTGACCCCCACTTATCGCGCATGTCCCACATAATCTTCCTTAGGTGTTTGTATGCCGGGCAAACTAACAGGAAATGCTTTAGGTTTTCTGGTTCTCCCTTATTGCACACAGTGCAATTTTCTTTCCCTAACCATCTCCTGGTTCTTTTGTTTACGGGGAAGCATCCCGCTCTACATTGGTACAGCAGCTTACTGCCGTTTTTACTATTATTATAAAAGGTTTTTTGTTTAGGAAGTGTTTATATAGTTCTAGTGTGCTTTTATTAACCATCCCCTTTCTCCATATGATTGTGCTGCCTTTTATAATGATTTTTTCCACCGTATTGTTCCATGATTCGCTGTTTTCCCAGTCTCTATTTATCAATAACTGTTCTTCGTCATACTTTCCCTCCAGGAATTTTACTCGTCTATTCCAATCCGACGTAAAA